ATATATATATATATATATCTAATATATATATATATGTATATTATATATATGCATTTATGCCTGGCTGAAATTATACCAAAGTACTGGCACAACACTGGGCACTAGTTTTCATTTTCTTCTGTGTACTTCTGCATATTTTTTCTCAGCATATTTTTTCTTTAGATGGAGGACAAATGTTAAATTTAAGTAAAGGCTGCTCAGAGAGAAGAGACCACATTGGGGAAGCTGGGGCAGGTACTAGCAGGTGAGGCAGGCTGATATGTTGACACAGGCTGTACAGCAAGAGGATAGGATAATGAAGGAGAATGGCACGCATGGGGTTGGGAGGTGACATAATGGCCAGATGTGCTAGTCAGGGTGAAACTAGAGGACTTAAGTAGGCAAGTTGAGGGAGATGAGGCTAGAGAGGCTGATTGTGATGAGGCCTTTGAATGCCAGACAGAAGACTGTATGTTACTCTGTAGCATATACTTAACCCGAGTTTCTGTGCTGTTTTACCTCTGGACAAAAGATAATTTCAGAATAATCATCCTATTATCACAATTGCCTCACTTTAAAATGTAACTCTCTTCTGCACCTAATATGTAACTTTCAAATTAAATGGCTATCAAAGGAACTTGAGAGTTGTTTCTGATATCACATTGAGTAGGTTTGTGGTCTGACTGAGCATGTCAGGGGCCAGAGCCATGAGAAGTGTTGATTTATTTCATGAGCTGTGACACTGTAGGACATCTCAGAGTTTTAGGTGCGTATTTCATTTGGGCCAAGGGTCTCTTTGAGAATAAAGACACAGACATTTATTTGAGATAGGTACCAGCCTGGCTTATCTTACGAGCAGCCCAAATATTCTCCTGAGAAAGAAGCTCTGGGATCATGTGCCAGCACAGCCTCGGAAAGCACCTCCCAGGTCACCATGCTGCAAGAACAGGGTTTCAGCCTGCGAAGCCTCTTCAGCCCCTCAGCTCTGCCTACACAACAGTCAGCTTCTCTTGTGAGCTTTATGGTGGGATTCCTTGGTGAGTGCTCTTCACCGCATACATTATTATATGTGTGTAGGTGGAGCCAGTATGATGTGAGAGAGGGCAAAAGGCCTTACGTGACCCTACAATATGTGAGCAACTACCTGGAGCCCTGAAATTTCCACCTACTAGGTCACTAGACCTTGATAACATCTTTATATTAGTAGGATAAATTTATCACATTTTGGTAAACGAAGAAGACAGGAAGAAATTCCCTGAGGTGAAAGTGGCAGAAGTACAATATTGATACATTTCATTAGGTGTTAGGGAGCCCCGTGTGTGAAAGCATCAGTCCAAGTACATCTGCCAGTCAGAGAACTGGGACCCAAAGACACTGGGAGGCAATATAGAAAATCTTGGTCTGCTCACCCACAGTTATGTAATCTTTCATATTTTCAGCGACATTTAGTGAGCATCATCCATGTGCCAGGAACTCTCCTGGCCACTAGGGATATCAAGAGAGATGCCTCTCATACTCACTGGGCTTTATAATGCAGGATTATTGGTGGCAAGCTAGGGAAAGTGCAGGTTCCCCTGAGGGACCCCTATTGCAGACTTGATGGTCAGAGATATGGTGAGTGGATGGTGATAGCACTGAAATAGGGAGTAATAATGCAGATCATATATTATTTGTTTACATTAACATTTAGTGTTTACAACTGCTGAAAATGGACAGACTTGTCATTTCCCACTTGAAAAAAGAGAAATAACCCCTCTTCCAACAACTTCCCATTAATCCATGTGATAAAGACTGAGACAGCAGCAGATGGGGACCCAGATGGCACATGAGCAGAAAAAGCAAGAGGGTAGAGTGCCAGAGGAGGGGTTGACTTCTGAGGGGCAGACAGTCATGAGTCAGCAAGCAGTGTTTTTTAAATTGGTGAAATTAGCTATTTCTGCCCATAATGAAAATGAAGAATCTTAGTATTTAGCAAGTAGATATGTAAAGAACTTGATATCTTACCAAAATCGACTATTTGAACTGAGTAAAGTGTGCATGCTAATTTTGTTTTGTATACCTATCTCCTTTGCAGCATTTCTTGTTTTAGGCCTGAGTATTTTGACCACTTACGGAGTCGATGCTCTTGCCAGGCTGGAAGCATGGAGCCTTGCTCTTCTCGTGCTGTTTCTTGTTCTCTTCATTGCCATCGTTCTCACCATGTGGAGACAGCCCCAGAATCAGCATAAAGTAGCCTTTATGGTAAGTGTAATGAGGATTAGAGATGCCAAGTATTATGCACATTTTCTCTTGTACATTAGTTTTCGTAAGTTGTTTCTTTAAAAAAAAAAGGAAAAAGCATTTCTTATGAAGTTAACCAATGAACAAAAGTATCACAGTTCTTTGAGATGTTCCTTTTTGTCATAAGTATTCTCCCTACTTTGACTGTTACTGCCCTTTTCAGAAACTTGAGTATGCTCCTATCACAATATTATATAATACTGAACAAATTTCTTGTCAAATAATCTACAGTAGCAGAAGAATAATTCGAATATTTTACTTTTGAAAGTCAGGACCCTCTCAGTAAGCTATTCCACTGCAAATGAACTTATTCTGTGAGGTTTGAAGAGAGCTTTCTGAAAGTATCTCCTGAGAGTTGTGTGTATCCAGAGCTCCAGAGGCATAGCCTATTGATGTCTGAACTAAATCAGTAAAATCTAAACTAAACTAAACCCTAAAGCCAATTGTGTCTCGCTTATGAGGCAGGCATTAGAAGGCTGGATAAATCCCCCGCTGCTTTGGGCCGCAGTTAAGTAGTGTGAAGTGTGATGCTCCCCTTAGTTTTCTCCAGAAGAATGGCTTTTATTCAGGTTGTTCTTTTTGTAAGAATGCAAACTTACTGACACGGAGTGAAAGCGTATACTATGTTAAATTAGTTACCACCATGTCAAAATAATTTGGGGAATGTGCTTTCAGAATCTGAGTATATTTAAGAAAGTATTTTTCCTCCTTAGGTTCCATTCTTACCATTTTTGCCGGCATTCAGCATCCTGGTGAACATTTACTTGATGGTCCAGTTGAGCGCAGTGACTTGGATCAGATTTAGCATTTGGATGGCACTTGGTGGGTCTTTTAATATTTCAGCTTTCTCAGTTTTGGCTCCCTCTTTCCAAGTTTATGCACAGTGATGAGAGAAATGCATCTCTTCCCCCTTTCTGGAGATAAAGGCTTTTTCCAGTTTCCTCCTTTCTCAATTTTTAGAACAACAGAGAGCTTACTTTTCCAGATGTTTTCAGATGCCTTTTTAAAAATTCAGTTCTCTCAGTAACCCTGTAGAACCCTGTAGATTCTATTTTCTCCAATTTAATGGGTGAGAAAAATGCAGCCCCAAAATGTCAAAGGATCTGACTTATAAATGGCAGTCTGAGACTCTGATTCATAAGCCAGTGCTTTCCAGTGTGCCAGTGGATTTCTGGGGACATTTTGAATGAACTAGTAGCAAGAAATCTTTCTGATATCTAATTTTCTTATTATTAGGCCCTTGGGGGGAATTTAGCATTAAATAACATGAGTGAGTTTATTTATATCTCTATTACATTGTTTTTCATTTTGACCTCTTCAATTTCCTCTGTGAAAATTGAGTTAGAAATTAAGAGTTTGTTGTAACCCAAGCACTGAGCACCAACCATCTTAAAAATGTGGGATGAAGTAGTGAGAAATGAGAGCTAAATCTGTATTGGTGTTGGTGGCCTGAGGAGTTTGAATTTGTGTTTTTTGACAGTCCTCCCATTAGCTTAAGAAGAATGAAATTCTTCTTAATTCACTTGTGTGTACGTATGCAAGTGTTTGCTTTGGCTATAAATGAACTTATTTTCAATTTTAAGCCACCAGACCACTTGAGTTGATGGGAGATTTACCTCAGTCAGTTTTGCCTATCTCCCCAAACCCACACTAGAGTTTTGCCTATATTTTGGGAGATCTTACACTACACCAAGGAATTAGAATGGTGGTACCTTGAGTCAAAGGTTATCCATCCACACAGGTTATACTAGGTTTTTCTCTCTTTCTGTCAAAGTGACCATTTTTGGTAGGTGGCTCTGTTGCTAAAGGGGCAAGATCCTGAAAGGAAGCACCTGCCTGTCAGTTACACCCTCGGGGGTGTAAGACATGGCCATTCCTTTGGGGATCCTATCACTTCTCCAGGTGCTGCCAGGAAGCTGAGTCCAAATCCTCAGAGCACAGGACTATAGAACTCACTCCCCTCCTCTGAGCCCAAAAGAATCTCTTTCTAATCTGGTGGAAAGCTTCTCCATGCTTCCTGCCTTTCCACAAATCACTGTTTCCCTCCTCAAATTGTAGCTTACTGTGGGTTACTGTACTTGATCTTGATTAAGAGCATGAACTACAGAGCCAGATTCTATATTTGAATCCCCCTCTGCCATTTAATAGCTGGTTGACCTAGACCAAGTTACCTCCCTCGTTTTGTACCTAAGTCTCTTTGTAACATAGTGATTATGATAATTTTATTTGAGGACAGGGAGGCCTGGATCTTCAAACCTCTGAGGACAGAAGAGGAAATAGAATCATTCCTAACAATTGGACATGCCAAAACACTAATTGGTAGCCTACTTCCCATTATTTTAAAGGGGAGAATTATAATGCATTTCACATCAACCCAAAACTCTTAACCAATTTTTGAAATTGTAACTAAAACCCAGCAAAATGCCTACATATCAATAAGTAATCAACTATTTCGTGAGGATTCTTACATTTTTTTCTAATCCCCATCAGCATGGCTGTTAATAAATAGTTGCTTTGTACACAATTATTTGTCCTTTTCTGGTGACAGTAACACATGGAAGACACACCCATGACCCTTTGTTTACACAGCGTGTGCTTCCCAAAATAACTGACTGTGATTCTGATAATCCACTACTTGTATTTGAGATGTAATTGGAAATTTTACTCTATATATCCTTTTGTTTAAAGTGTAGTATTGGGTTTTGAGAAAATAAATATAATTTTTTTTCTACATAAACATCCGAAAAACACTTATTGAAAGAAACATACATTTATAAATGAAGTACATTCTACTGGGAAAATATTTATCAAGGACCTTCTGTGGGGTATCATATTCTTGCATTTCATTCTTCTAAAATAGCACAGAAAGAGAAGCCAAAAAGCCCTATTAAGTTCTATATTAAATTTCCATGTTCAGTCATTTTCTGACATACCTAAAACACTGATATTTTGTTCTCTAAAGGTTTCCTGATTTACTTCGCTTATGGCATTAGACACAGCCTGGAGGGTAGTGGAAGGGATGAAGATGATGAAGACGCTTATTTAGACAACATTAACGCAGCAACAGAAGAAAAATCTGCCATTCAAGCAAATGACCATCACCAAAGAAACCTCAGTTTACCTTTCATGTTCCATGAAAAGACGAGCGAATGCTAACACTTGTAGGAGCAGAGCTGGTCCATGGTCTTAGCATATGTATCCTACATTGAGTCAGCCTTGACAGGATGTCATCATCATGCTAGGTTGTCATGGGTTTGCTGAAGACATAGTTCACCGTAATTTATACTTACTCACCTGGACAGCACCTCCTCAGATGGCAAATTATGTACTTGGAGAAGCTTCGTGAGCTCTCTCCTCGGTGATGAATATCCCCAAAATAGCAGGTGTGTGTGTATGTTCGTATGTATGTACATACATATGTATGTACATGCGTTGCACCTGTGTACAGTATGTGTGTATGTATGTACGTATGTAAGTATGCATTGAGGAATACGAGTGTTGAAAGTTGTTGGTGTTTTACTATTATTTCATTACATTTTTCTAATGTCATTAATCGGTACTTACTGCACATACTTAAAAGAAGGTAATCACTTAACACAAAAGTGTTTTGTATGTGCCTGGTATGGTTAGGGAAATAACTCGCTTTTTCTTGTTAGACTTCATTAATGTCAATTTAGAACATAATACAAATTGCAAATTGCAATCTTTGTGTCTGTCATTGGTTAAGAGTAAGAGAAGGGGATAAGAAATGAGTCTTTTCTGTAACTTATAAATGCCAGCAGTTGAGTTTAGTACAGATTTTTCTACTATGAGGTATGACAGTTTGCTAAAAATTTAGCCAATAGGAGTGTTTGCATCTGCCATACTGCGCAGGGCAGAAGTGGCATTCTGCATCGCCAGACGGCGCCCCTTTGAACTACAGTCTTCTTAGAAAGCAGTAGTCATTAAATATGAGGCCTTCACCTGCTGTGAGTGATATGCCCCTTCAGCCCAGTCAGGGGCTTGAGAGAGGTAGCATGATCTACTTGAGACCCTTTATGTTAGAAAATGAAGGTGGTCTCCATGGCCAGAAAGCTGGTGTAACTGGCAATGATGAAGATAAGCTTGAAAATCAGAGTTAGATATATGCTTGGTTAAGTAGATACCAAGCATCCTTGTTTTAAAAGTCACTTAAGCTAGTAGAATCTCCCAGATCACACAACTGGTGAAATGATTCATCTTTTTGCATTACTTAATAACTAATCACAGTTCAGTTTTTTTTTTTTAACCTGTCAGACACAGAATTCACTCGGTTGTTTCTATTATTATTTTGTCTTGTCCTAGACATGGGAAGCTACCATAGCAAATTCTATCTTTACTACATGTAAAAGAGGAAAAAAATGAAGGGTTACAAGAAGAGAAATATTCTTGTTCTAATTTTAATGTGCCTATTCAGATATGAAAGGGCTTCTGGCTCAATTTGAAGGGTTCAGGTCTAATTTGCCTCTGATGTTTCATTTGGAAACATTTAGGGATGTTTTTCAACCCCCATTCAATAATAGTTTAGCACTTTTTATTTCATTTATTTTTAAATAGGCACACTAAAGCTATCAGTATAAGCTTCAGTATTCCACAATAACCCATTAGTAGTTAAAAAAATAAAATATTTTGGTTAAATACATGATTATTTAAAACTTTCAGCTAAAAAATTCACCAAATTGAATTAAAGCCATATAAACACAGTAACCTTCATATGAGTAACTTGTTTTTATATGTAAGAATCTCTAATTACTATATTTACTTTATAGGATTCTCTAATGGTGGACTATTTATCTGCAGTGTGTTGGCTTCTCATGAATTATTTTTCTTACAAATATTTAAATGGTAAATGGTCTGCTAGATGAAACTAGCTGTACACACACACACGCATACACATACACACACAGATACACACGAATTACATTCCCAGGACAAACATTATTAAGTACACCAGTTGACTAGCTTAATCCAGAGGCGAGGAAAACATGTCTTACAGCACTTCCGAGAGATCAGTTATTTTATTGATGCTATTAAAAAGCAATCTGCAATTGTTTTATCTAACCAAGAGTTTATTGTGATTAAATATCAAATAAATAGGTAGAAAGCCTGGGTTTCTGGTTGCTAGTGTCCTAGCGTCCCTGATGTAGAACTCAGTACTGACATTCCACAATTTCCAGGGTAAAACCTGGAAGCCCAGAATTCTCTTCAAGCTGCATGCTTCACTGGAGAAGAAGAGTTGGATAAGCAAGGGGTGACTCATTTTACTAAGGACCTTAGGCATACTCATAAAGCTTTGCTGTTGTAGCCGTACCCTGAGAACTCCTTTTATTCCATAATCTAGAATAGGCCCTCACACAGGGAACATGAGGAATTTCATATCATAGTATTTAAAGCTTTTATTGTAACAAAATCAAGAAATTTGTTTAGAACGTGATAGGCAGCTAAAACTACTATGGCCACTGTGTTCAACTAGAAGCAGAATTTAGTTAAAAATTATTTTTCCACATTGAAACACTTTGCAAACACAAATATCTATGAAAAGATACTTTGTCAGTGACTGCTTTTTTTCTGTGAAGACTCAAACATGTATCTGTATGTATGTGTGAGTATATATATTATATACATGTATAATGTTTGTATTTCAAATGTCAGTGTATAAGTCGGTTGGATTTAAATGGGCTTCTCCTTGTATAATTATGTTTAAACATTTTTAATGGCTTTTTGTGTAGATGAAAAAAACCCAAGTGGTATAGAGAAAAAATAATGTTTTATATTGATAGATATGCATATACAAAATGTTTAGGTTTTAAAGTATTTTGAAATATACAATGATTTTATATGTATAATATTTTCTATAGATAGATTCTTTAAGAAAGCTATATTTATGTTTCTAATATAAAATCACTAAACTCTGGTACATTATAACAGGTGCTTTATAATCTGAAATAGAATAGGGGAAGGGGACGTTAGGGTATTTCTGTTTACTTGTTTCTGTGGCACTTTTTCTGACATCTCTGTCTTGGTATGTTTATTAGGAAAAGCCAGTACTACCAGCTCTGTTACCTGTTCCCTGTTCCTACATTTGAATTCATAATCTTTTGAACAAAATGTTGTCTCTACTTTCTTAGGATTACCAAAATTTTTTGTATAGATTTCACTAGTAATCACCTCCAGAAATTGAAATATATATAAATATATATATATACACATTTTCTTAATTGGGTTTGTATAAAAACAGCTTAAAATACTTTTTTTTTATACTAGGAAATATGTTTTCAGTATTTGCAGTAAGAAACTTCTTATAATTACACCTTTATTTTATACACTTATAAAAAGAGAAAACAATTTGTGAATAACCATAGAGAGGGCATCCCTACCCTACATTTAACAGGGTAGCTATGCAAATTTAATTGTAAAAACTATTTACGAGAAAACTTATATTAGAGCTTTTGATATGTATACCGAAATACAGGTTATTATATAATCACATTTTCCCCAGAGATGAACATCAAGAAAACTGAGACCAAAACATCATTTAGGATAGATATACATATATGAAAAACTAATGATGAAATATATAAAACTTTATTATTATCAACCATAGTTGTTGGGAAATATCTATTTCAGAATTATCTTACTTTAGAAAACAAGTGCCTTTCTTCTTTTAACTTTTCTGAAAAAAGATTTTTTTAAAACTTTTTAAATATTAGTCAAAACATTTTCCAAGTCCTGGAAATTTGCAGGTAGTAGCTAAAATATTTTGAATTAGAATCTATATTTACCAAGTTATTTTCTAAACTTACTTAAATGCTTAGCAGGAAGTATAAGGAAAAGTAATCGTCCTCCAGTCCTGATAATGCCAGAGGGAGCAGATCAGTCTTAGATCCTTTCCTCTAAATCAGGGTGCATTCCAGGATTACAAACCATATGATAAAGTTGTGCCAGGATTTCAACTGCCCTCTCCCTGTGATGTTGCTCAAGATGGTCTCTGCCTGATTTCTCCTGATGTGCTTAAGTGACAGGTAAAACCCAAAATACAATTTCCACAGAATTTTGAAGGATTAGGTTGTACATCATGGATATTAAAATCCACATGATTAGTGTGAACATTTTTTTTGGGGGGGGAGGTTCACTTTTATTTCACTAGTGCCAAAATAATGTCTTTCTCATACATTTTCTACTTCCTCTAACATGTCCTAAAATATCAAGGGAAAAAGTACCAGAGTTCATGTAGTAAATAATGCCAGCACAGGTCATTTTTTTTAGTGTACATTTGAAAATAAGATTGCTTGACTTTTTTGTTTAGCTGAGATATTTTTTCTCCTTGTATAACTAAACACTTTTAAGTGGCTTTCTGGTTTCTGGATTTTGAGAGGCCTTCTCTGTTATTATTGTGATTGTTAGTTTGGTTGTTGGTTTTTGTAACATTCATTATTGTTTATATATATACAGTTTAGCCTGATTTCAAATGCATTTTGTTATGGCTCAACCCAGTTGGCAACCCTGTTTTCTGGGGAGCACTATGCTTAGCTTTTATTCACTATGTCGAAGCCACTGCCACAGTCTCTGGCGTTAAAGAGCCTTCATGACCACGGGGGCTCCACGGGGATCATAAACCAGTACCCCGGGCTGATTCCAGGGTTAGGCAGCCTACACAAAGTGTGAACATCAGTAGCTACCCCTATTGGGTGGGGTCTTGGGATGACAGGGTAGGATATGAACTAAAAGACTTCGCATGAAAGTAAGGTAGTCTGGGATCCTTCATATCAGTTCCAAATATCCCATGAGTACATCAAGGTAAATCATAAGGGCCAAGAAACCCTTAAGACTCATGGAAGATAAGACTGCTTCCTGGACCTGGCACTGTGGGCCTGACAAACTGCAATCCCTGTACTGCTACTAACACCCTTGGAGTGGAAAGTGCATGGGCCTAGGTTCAGATGATAAAGAACCTTGTATTACCAACAGGATGGGGTTCTCTGGTCCACTCCTGGTTGACAGGTTTCTCATCTTTGGTGTCTACTTAGGGGCACCCAGTTGTATTATTGCTTTATTTTGTTACCATTGTACTTAAAAGAAATTGTCGATAGGCCCCCAAAATCCTGCAGAAATTCTGTGTCTTTAAAAACCAACAGATAATATTGGACTCGATTG